TGGATTGCCCGGATCCTTTTCTCCTTGGAAGCAGGCTTACAGCTCAGCAAGAGATTTGAGAAAGTGAACATCTGCTCTTGCCCACAGCCCAGGGGAGGCACAAGCACCAAGGCAGAGCAGACCTTGGGCAGGATCTAAGCCTGGGAGCAAAGGTGGCCATTCATGCCTTGTGCCCTGCTGGCTGCCTGCCCACTCCATGCAAGCCATGATCTATGACTAGAGCAGAATGTTTATGCAAAGGGGTAACCAGTGACTAATCTAATCTTCCCATTTTCCTGAACAAATTGGTGGAGAAGAACAGATTCCTCTGAAAGTGATGTTAGTAAAGCTTCAGGTTACCTGAAAGGAAACCCCCACACTTCTCTGAGAATGTCCCATTTGGCATTTCCACCATGAAAAAGAGCCTTGAGCACAGGTCCCATCCTGTCTCTAGTGCTCATGCATATGCACACAGTTCTCAAAGCCTGATGGACGTAACAGTCACTCATGCCCCTTGTTAGAGGTTTAGATCCTGGGATCCTGGCCCAGGGGCTCTGCTTCCCCCAGGATGCACCTGAAATCTGAATTTTTAACAACTGCCCACCATTTTTGATGCCCATGGTCCATGGACCACCTGAGGAGCTACAGGTTTGCAGGCTTTGCAGTCAGAAAGCTCAACTTTGCCTTCCCCGCTCTTTCACCTGCTGGGCAAGTCCCCAGAGCTCCCTGGGCCCTGGTTCTAAATCAACCTCCAGGGTCTCTTGTGAGGCTCACGCCTGGTTCTCAGGCAAACAGTCCGGGAACCCTGCCCTGTTTCTCGCATTCACCTTGGTGGTCTCACAGTGGAGGTGAACGCGCCACTCGGGTTGGGTCCTTTGGGTCCCTCCTCCCCAGTGAGTTAAGAAGATCTTGTTCCCTGCCAGCCTTCAACACAGCCAAATGTGAGAAGCTGCAGAAGGAGAAGGAGGACCTGGAGCGGCGGTTCGAGGAGGAGCTGAGGAGGCTGGGCTGGCAGCAGCAGGCCGAGCTCCAGGAGCTGCAGGAGCGGCTGCAGGGGCAATTCGAGATGGAGATGGCGCGCCTGCAGGAGGAGCACCACAGCCAGCTGCTGCGCATCCGGTGCCAGCACCAGGAGCAGGTCAGTCGGGCCCCATGGGAGCGGGCTCTGCTGTTGGGCAACTCAGGTGACAGGCGGAGGGGGGCCAGTGTCACATGAGCAGGAAGTCCTGTTCCGCAGGTGAGCCTGTGGCCAAGTTCACTCTCCAACTACAGTTCTTTCTTCTAACCCTCCCCACCTCTCCCCCAGCCTTAGGTGGCCTCCCTTGCTCTTCCTCGGGGCTTTAACACTCTGCCTGCAATGCTGTCCCTCTAGACATTGCATGGCTCCCTCTTTCCCCTCCTTCCAAGTTTTTCTCCAAACTCATCTTCTCAGTGAGGTCTTTCCCTATCTGAAATTACACTTCCTCCGCACTTGACATGCAGATTTCCTGTCCCACCGTCCCTGCTTTAGTCTGACATATTATAAATGTTTCTTTTGTCCCTTATTTATCATCTGCATATATTCTGTGCAGGCAGAGATGATAACAGGCAAACCTGTATTTAGCCCTGGTTTGCTTTTAACTCTTTATATACAGCAGCTCATGGAATCCTCACCATCACCCTATCTGGTAGGGACCATAGTCAGCCCCATTTTGCAGGTGAAATAACTGGGTCCCTGGGACTAAGTAAATAAACTGTTGGGATTCAGAGCTGCCCCTAGGAAAGCCACAGTGGAATTCTGACTGGCTCCAGAGTCCATGCTGCCAATCACTAACTTAGAATGGTCTGCCAGGCTTTCTCTAGATCTCCACACCTGGAACTGTGCCTGTAAAAAGTAGGCACAGAACATGTGCTTGTGGAATGAAATAATGAGCTCCAGGAGTTAGCCTTAGCCCGGCGATCTGTCTGGACAGGGAAATTCATCCATAGAATAATGAGGGAGTGATTCATCGGGGGCCTGTCAATGTGAAAGTGGGCAGGAGCCAGATGTGCCCACCCCATGGCCATTACTGCCAAGAGCGCTGATGAGAGAGACAGGTGGAACCCAGACTCCAACAGATCTCCCTCCGCAAAAACCGCACGGTGATTTTCTCTTCTTTCACATTCCCAAGCTCAGATGCCTTGAGACCCACCTTCTAATTGGTGATTATTTTATGTTCTGCTCATCATACACCCAAGGAAACTGACATTCATGAAAATGCCCTTTAAATCTCAGTGACACTCAAGGTAGTGCTTCATGGCCCTTCATTATCATGAACTTTGCAGCTGTCTCCCAAGGTCACTTCCAAATAGACAGCCCAGATGGCAATACCATGCACCACCTCCCCGCTACCCCAGAGGCTTGGGAATGCTGGGAAGCATAGGAGAAATATTAGAGTAATAGTAAGTACCATTACTGTAAAAAAGAATCTCTTGCTTCACAGTATCTTTTAGATATAGCAAGCATCTCAAGTTAGTCATTCTCCTTTTCTAGAGGCCAGTGAAATACAGCAGCACCTCCCTGCTTGAGGTATTTAGACTTAAGTCTAGGACATAGAAGAGGTCGCAGCTTAAGTTACCTGCTGATGCTAAAAGTGGAAACTGAAGCCTTGGCATCTTGCTGCTCAAGCTGTCTGAGTGCAACTGCTGGACGTAGACTGAGCACCTGCTACAGTCCCTGATCTCACCTCTTCATGGCCCCTTGGTGTAAATGGAGGCCTCAAACCTGTTGCAAATATCAGCTCGTCCTGTGTCTCCATCCCTGGGCTATTCATCTCACTGTTAAACAGAGAATGTGTTTGTAACTGTGTTTCCCAAAGACCTCTGATCCATAGGCCTGGGGCTGTTGAGAAGATGCCAAAAGTTGGAGGTAGGCAGGAGGTGGTCAGCTGCAAGGGGAACCCCTGGGACAAGGGCTGGCATAGTGATGCCACATTGCCAGGGCCACTACCCAGTGAAACATTTTCCACCAGCAGAGGCATCTTGGGGCCAGGTCCTCTCTATGCACACACCAAGACCTGTGCATTAAGCTGGGTTTCAACAACCTTTTGGAGATTTCAAACTGGAAGGAATTGAAAGGAAAAAAGCCCTTCACTTCTACATTTGAGAATGAGTTACATTAGCTACCTATGCCTATTTAAAAAGTGCTCAGTCTTATGGGGGCACTGGTTCTGTTCTACTTGATCCTTCATGAGAGTTAAAACCATTTATTTACTTATTCTCCTATGCAAAAAGTATCTGAGTGCCCACTGTATGCAGAACACCATGACAGGGTTTAGCAAGAGATACAAAGATTTATAAAATGTGAGCTTGCTTATTTCATAGGGGCATTTCAGGGACAAGTACCCAAGGAACAGTGGGATAGGGTGAAGAACACAGGTGATATGTTCAGGCATGGACAGTTGACAGTCCACTCTGAGGACAAGGGGAGGCGGATGGTGGAAACACCAGCTGCATGCTCTATGAGTGAGGGAAACCTCCCAACAGGGACCCAGAGCCTGGGGGAAACAGTGATTCAAGTCTATGAATGATTTAAGCCCCTGGTTCTGCTCTTCCTGCCAAATGGCTGTTTCCATCATCTTCAGCTTCTGCAGCAGAGCATTCAAGAGGAGAGGAAGAAGAGGAAATGCACATCAGCTCAAGACTTGGATTTCCAGGCAGATTAAATGCTCATTGGTCCCATGGGAGGGGAGACCCAGTGGAAGGGGAGACCCAGTGGATAACGCAGGTAGAGACTCAGTCACTCGAGGCTGGACTCTCCACCTTAGATCTTCCTTCTCACGGACAGTCACATGTGGCAATGCAGACCCCATGGATAATGGCATCTCTGTCCTTCTGGAGCCTTTAAAAATCAGGTTACCCAGTCTGGCCTCTCCACAAAATCCAGTGTCCCTAAGGCCAGCAGCACGGGGCAGGGGCCTGCCTCAGTTCCAACCCGTAGGATTTTCTGAGGCTTTGGAATTTACTGATGTTGGGACTTGATCACCAAGGCAGGCTGACCTCTGGCTTCACCATAGGATCTCTCCACGACAAAAGCAGCCGAATCTCCTCCTAGCTTAGCCATCCACTATCTCAAGGGGCAAGTACTGTCTCCCTGGCCAGGGTCTCTGCTCTGGAGACACATGGAAATCAGCTGAAGGACTTGCAGAACATTCATACCCATTGAATTGGACTTGCTGCCTAAGGTCTGGCTGGGGGCTGTTTTGGATGGATCCGCAGGAGATTTCTTGTGTACAGGAATTTCTCAGAACAGTGGCATTTGTTCTGAGAAAAACAGATCTTCTTCCTCAGCCTAGCATGTGTGTGTTAGGGGCCTGGCCATTTGGGCAGAGATGGGGCAGGACCTTGTATTTTGGCTTTTTAAATTGACTTTAAATATATGACGGGGCTTTTATTTTATTTTTTGGTACTAGGGATTGAATTCTACCATTGAGCTACCTCCCCAGTTCTTTTTATTTCTTATTTTGAGACAGAGTCTCACTAAGTTGCTAAGGATGGCTTCAAACTTGCGATCTTCCCCTCAGCCTCCTGAATCACTGGGATTACATATGTGATCCACCACACCTGGCTTAGAACTCTAAAGTCTGGTGGTAAAATCAGATGGAATGGGTTCTATAGCAAGAGAGGCCACATTGCCACAGATTCCCATTCTCGAAGCATGCAAACCGGATTTTCACTGTAAACACGTGTGTTTTCTCTTTTTGCACCACACATTGTCACTTCTCCTCCCAGCTTCTGGTGCTCCATACTGGGCCACCTTTAGTTGTTCCCCAGAGCCTGGTATTCAAGAATGAAACTCCTGACATTTGCCTGTCCCCCGGGACCCTTGGACAGTTTGTCTTCTATTGCAAACTGCCCCAAGGCACTCACTTTGGGGACTGCTTGTTCCTGGATGCCCTGTGGATTTTGCAAAGATTCCTTCACCTTGAGAAGGGCTCATCCTTTGAAGTTGAAATTTGCCTCATCTCAAATCCAGGACATCTGTCCTACCCTTTCTTAATGAAATCATCCTTTTAGACTAAATGGCAGGAACAGCATCCCTATGATTCCTCTGAACGCAGACACCACTTTGTCTATCATGTTACATTATGGTCTCCTTAACCCGCCTGTCCAGCAGGCTCCCAGCTGCCGTGCAGAGGAAACCACATTCTCTATAATCAAATAAAATGAGATCCCAGGGGGCCTCACTTCCCCAGCATCCAGCACTAGAGCTCCCTGTGCTAGGAGGAGGCTCTGCAGGGGAGATGGAGCCTCTGTAGACACCTGCCCGTGGGGTGGGCTGTAGAGAGGGCAAAAGGCAGAGGGATGGAGTGGGACTGGGAGCCCCCACACGCACGGCTAGCCACCTTCTCTGAGCTGATGATAGCAGGGAAAGAGTGAAGGAGGGTCTCCCAATAATCAGGCAAAGGAAAGTCATCAGCAGAGCACCAGAGAGAGTAGGCATAAGCCAGCGTCCTCTGTCTCCTCCAGTATGAGACATGTCTGGGAGGAGGACCAGTGGGAGTTTAATCTGGTTTTGTTTAGTAATAAAAGCCCAGATAACATAGAGCACGTGCTTCTTTATTTGAAATGTAAGTCTTCTCTAAGTGAATTGCCAAAGTCCCAGATAATTAAATTTTGCAAATGGCTAAATGAAGTAAACTGCACAGGGTGGCTTTCCAACCCTTGGCTCTATTTTAACCAGCCCAGCTGAATAGCAAGGGGCAGGGGGAATGGAGTCACATCACAGGGAATAGCTGGTTTTCAGAACAAGCAGGGCTATTTGATGGGCAAATCGACAGACTCCTACAGGGCGCAGTCCAGAGCGCCGTCTTTGTGGAGGAAAGCAGAAGGTGGGCCAGCAGTGGTTTAATGGGGGCTGTACCAACTGTTCTAACTAAAAGAGAAGGATGCTTCAGTCAGAGGAAGCTATAGGCTGGCAATGGTTTAGTGCCTTTGTCTCTGATCCCCTGATTTACAATGTGTAGATAGATCATCTGGTGTTTCCATTGGCCCACTTCTCTAAATCTGCTCAAATACCTTCAGAGGGTTTCAGGGTCTTCTCACACTGGGGACTCTTACTGGCTGCTTCATAACTGTGAGCCGGTCATCTAGAAAAGAACCAGGAGGGGCTGGGGCTGTAGCAGAGCACTTGCTGCTCTCCTGTGAGGCACTGGGTTCAATCCTCAGCACCACATAAAAATAAACAAATAAAATAAAAGCATGCTGTCTCTCTGCAACTACAAAAAAATTAAACTTAAAAGAAAGAAAGAAAGAAAGAAAAGAACAGAACCGAACCAGGAGCCATAGGAGGAGAAGTCAAAGTGATTTAAACCATGGCAGGAGAGGGGATAGCCCATAGTGGATAATATCTCTTCCTCATTGAGGGAACATTCCTTAAAAAACATAAACATTCCTTTAAAAAGGTGCATAAAAATTGCCAAAGAGCGAGGATTATTGTGTTCAACTTTGGGCTCACTGGTTTCCCTCCAAATATACTGGTCATCCCTCTAATTCCATATGGACTTTTAGACTTAGGCGATCAGTATTTCATTCATAAAAGCACCTCCTAGCGTCAGCAGTGGGTAGATCATGCCCTTACGCCATCCTAATATGTTGGATGAGGATTTCCATCACAACTCAATCAAAGACGCGTCTTCCAACAAACCATAAAGGCACTCATTTTAGTCACAAACAGAATGTGGTATTGCCAACTGGGACATGTCCACCTCCAAGGACACATGGATTCTTCTGGAACTTAGTCCTTCTATCTTTTCTGAAACCTGGTGGTTTACGTAAAAGCTCAGTGAATTGGAATCATAGTGAGAACCAATGAAAGATTTTTCATTTATATACTGAACTCTGTAACATCTCCAAATAATGTGTGGGTACTTGTTTCTACAGAGAGGAGAATATACTGTGTGTTTAACTGACATCTGTAATTGAGCAGAAAGAAATGATTTTTCCTTTTATTTAACCATTGATTTATTTTTCCAACAGGCTGAAAGGCCTTGGACAAAGATTCCATTAAAACCTCATATAAACAGGAATTGGACAATTAAGTACCATTGTAATCAGCCTTTCTGCTGAGTGGATTCATAACTCTAAGCCTCAAGTAAAATATGTTTAATCAAGAATGTCCAGTAAATAAGAGTGAATTGTTGCGTAACAAGTTCATTTTCACGATGAGATATAGCTTTCCTAGGTAATTCTGTGGGTTCCATTATTGCTTTTATCCAATGATTGTTCCCATTTTAGAGAATAAAAGTCTCATTTACC